TGCTGGTCTTTCTGACTTAACTATTTTTCATCTAAGGCATCACCCCATTTCCCATGTTAGAAACATTGGACCAGAATGATCTTCTTTATGTACATCAGTCCTTATACATATTCACTAGTCTGATCAAAAAACTTCCGTTATCTAGTATTTGAGGATTGAACAGTCTAATGCTAACCTACTATTCCAGTTTTATTTAATATTCCTCTCCTCATCTCAGATTTCTTTTAGCTTCAGCAAAAATAGACGATCCTCTGCCCCACCACTGCTACCACCACCACCACCACCACCACTCCCCACACATTTTCCTCCTCTGTCTTTACTCATGTTGCTCCCAATACCTGAAATGTCACCTCTCCTCTCTTCATCTGTCCAAATTCCTCACTATCATTTCAATAGAATTCAATCTCAATTCAAAAGCTTTCTACTCCAAGATGCTTTAGCAATTCTTCATCCTTAGCAATGTATGTAGTATTTTCTTTTCTTTAATGCATTTTGAGTTTGGTACTGAGCTACAGTTTCTTTGTAAAGAGAATCTGAATGTGAAAATTCTCCCTCAGTACAGACAGGCATCTGCTCTGTAAGTTACACTCTTAGAGAGTTGGTTTGATTACTGAGGGGTTGGGTGATTCTTCTGCTCATGGCCACACAGCCTATATATATGTCAGAGATAGCACTTGAATACAGGTCTTCCTGATGTCAAGATTTACTCTGTATTCATTATGCAAGCTATCATTAATGCAGATATCATGTAATATTTCATATATAGTTCCTATGTTTTGTGCCTTTTCCTCCTAGACAATAATCTTCTTGAGATCTAGAACCCATCTTTTGTCACCTTTGGTCCTCCTCCAGCACCTAGCTCAGTTCTCTCTTCTACAATGGGGACTTAAACAAAAGTTTGTTGAATGAATGGATAAAGTTCAATTTCACCTTCAACAAATATTTGTTGTCCATTATGTGCAAATCCCTGTGCTAAGACGTAGGAGAAATACTAAGGTTAAATAAGACGTAATTATTACCTTGGAGTTCATGACTTAGCAGAAGGATACAATACACACACACACACACACACACACACACACACACACATAACTGGAATGCACAATAATACCTAATATCCCTAAGAGAGATGCAAACCCAGGGCTATGTGATATCTGTGGAGGGAAGATCATTACTGCTTTATTTGTACTCCTGTCTCTTAAATTTGCAGCAAGTGAAAAGTCCCAAGTTTCATAAGGAATGTGTTAGCCTCTGAGCATTTCACAATTTTATAAAAGCCAGTACTGCAGGAGTTATGGTATATTTACCGCCTAGCTATTTTTTTGAGTCTTCAGTACAATATTATTTCTGTTTTTCTTCCTTTCCTCCTTTCCTTTTCCTATATTGCAGAAAGATGGGTTATATTCCTTTACATTGCATTGTTTTTTATTTGGGGGAGGGGGGAAGAGAGAGGGAAAGGGATACAGGACATATTCCTCACCTAGCCTTCTGGATAGGTTGGCTTCATTATGAGTTACAACTTTTTACTGAGCACCTATTCTGTACCCACATTGTTAGGAATGAGGTACTACTGAAGGATGTCAGTTTCCATTTCCATACTTCAATGGATCTGTAAACTCATGGATGTGAGTACTCCTTCTAATGACTCAGATTTCTGGATGTGAGTACTCCCTCTAATGATTAAGATTTCAACTCATCTACACCTTCTCACCTTACGTGACCACAAGTAGATACTTCTTGTCCATGTCTTTCCAAAAATCCTCCATAATGAACCCATCAAAATAGGGTCAGAGAATCATAGATTTAGAATTGGAAGTGACCTTAGGAGCAATTTAACTTCACTCTGTCATTTTACAGTTGACTAAACTGAAGCCTAGTGAAGGAAAATAACTTTCCCAAGGTCTCACAGACCACTTAACATAAGTGGCAAGGCCAGGATTTAAACCTCAATAGTCAAAAGTCAAATCTAACACTTTCAATTGCTTCAGTTTCCCCAGCAAGAAAGTATAGGGGAAATTCTCTAGAACTCTTGACATTGTATGTATACCAAAGGAACATGAGAGGTGTCTATCCATTATTGTTCTCTTTCTCACTATATAACCAATTCACTGCTTTTTGGAGGGGGGGCCAGTGTCATTCATCAGTTTGATGGCATCCTTTAAGTCACTTCTCTCTGTCAGCACTTCATAAGTAATATATGGCAGCCTACTGATGCCTACCATGCACCTCTCTATTGCCTTTTGAGTGGCCTGTAACTTTAATTTTTTGAGGACTTTAATATTCTGTTCTTCACAGTTACACTGGAAGAATTTTGATGATTAAAAGAAGGGTCTTTTTAAAAAGGGAAATCTGAAATTGTTAAAAATCACTGTGCAATTTTTAAAGCCAATCAAGGCCACTTTCCTTCACTTATCCAGTTCTGGGCCTGACTCATTGGCTTTTCAAAGTGTGCCTGAAATATTTGCAAGTGATGGACCAGAGCTGAATTTTGTCCATTCAACTGCATATCACAATCTAGATAATAGACATTCTTCATCCACTTGGTTTTTCCTACTTGGATAGCTAGGATGAATTCTTTTGAGTGAGTATGGATCTCATTTAGGAGGTTCTGCAATTTTCCAGGAGCTGCAGCATTGTGTCATCTGCAAATAGGAGCAACTGGAAGACCTCACCATCTCCAGGAAATCCTTCTTTTATTTAGATTCTGTTTAATGCATCTTCTTCCATGATAGTGGCAAACATATTTGGTAAAGAGATTCATCCCCTTTTTTGCATTGCTTGATATTAATAATTAGAGCATAATCACAGTTATCTGTATTGTTTCCATCAAGGAAATCATATATGATCTTAACACATGCATGTGCAATATCTTGATGGAGGAAAGAATAGTTTGTGATAGAAATCAAATGTTCCCTTATCTTGTATTTTTATGTTCTCTAAACCTCTTACTCAATTGGGTCTCTATTAGGATGTAATCTGCTATAGAATATCATTTGCAAAGGAATGTCTGTCAGTTCCCTCGTCAGGTCTTCATTAAATAAGCCCTCAGTGCATGGATAGATTATTCTTGTAAACATTTTGTATAGATGAGAAAGTAGTCATACAGGTCAATGGTTATCGATGTTTTCTCAGTTGCTTTTTTCTAAAAAATATGTGTATAATTCCCCTCCCCCAAGCCATTAAATATCCTCCTTTCTTTCAGAGTTCTTGAGAATGAATCTCTCAGTACTATCTAGATTCTATTAAATCTAGCCCATGTCTCCTTTGGTATATTTACTCCAGTTCATCTGGGCTTCCTAGCTTTGTTTTTATTAGGGCCAATTCAACTCTCATGCAACACATTCAAGGAAAGCAATGTTAGAGTTAAAATGTAACCTCTATCCACTGTCATTAATGGAGAAAATAAATTGTCACAAGTGTCTTCATTTACCTTTTTCATTTTTTCATCTCTTCTTTCCTTTTCTTACAAGTTCATACTTAAGTAACCTCAAGATGACCTGGCTCAGTTGATCTTTTGCCAAGTTTTACATAAACTTGTATTTCTCTCTACTGCCTCTGGAGGTTTCATGAGGCAATGCTACTCAATAATCTTCCATAATCCTCCCCACAAGAGTTTGTTTTAAACTAGTGTTGTCTTTGGCTGTTGTCTTTTCCACTTGGCAAGATCAACAATTTCCATTGCTGAAGGGATTTTTTTAGTCTCTCTCTCTCTCTCTCTCTCTCTCTCTCTGTGTGTGTGTGTGTGTGTGTGTGTGTACGTGTGTGTCTCCCTCTCCCCACAACTGATTTGATACCGTTTAGAATTCCTTAGGAAATGGTGATAGTCAGAATTTGTTCTTTTATGCACTTCCTATTTTTTTTTTTTATGTCAACACCTTCCTTAAAAAAGTCAGGTCACAGATGCCTCAGTTGAACATTATTTCTTCTCATTTTTATTCTATCTTCTAATTTGGTATTGCTTTTTTATTTTTTTTCTCTAACAAGTCAGTAGTGTGACTGCACACAGATAGATGATTTGGAAATGAGTCCCACATCAATAACCCATTGCTTCCTATTAGAAAAAATCACTTTCATTAGTATGAAGTTATTTTGTGCTCAATATGCCCGGCACCTCTGGATCCCCTTCATAAAGAAAATATGTATAGTTTTGAGGCTTCTGCTTAATCCATAAGGTTTTGGCTTCTCTTATTTCTTACTCTTAAATAAGATTTTCAAAATACTTTTCAGCATCATTTCCTTCCCCACATTTATATTGAAGTACTAGAGTATATATTGATTTAATTTGGAAAGTCTTATCAAGTTTTTTTATAGAATCTTTCTACCTCATCATCCTCTGCCATGGATGCTGGAACATAAACTGCAATTATCTTGGTGGTGTTTTATGGGTTTTTTTTAAACAAATACTTATTAAGAGTACTGTAATATGAGATGACCCAGTGTCCCATGAAATGGTATTTCTTGTTGCCTGTCACATGATGAAACCAACTCCATCAACAGATTTATTTTCATTTCCAAGGAGAGCCTGTGAACCATTCTTCCAACTATTGCAAATTTCTTTTGTTTCCTGGTTTCATTTATGGTAATAATGTCAAGGTTTGCATGACTCAATCATTGTACTTTATTGATTTTTTCTAATCATTGAATGAGGATTTAGCTTTCAGAGTGAGAGATAGATTAATGTTTATAGAAATCTAAAAGCTGTGATTCCTCTGCCCCCCATTTCTTCACTATCCCTACAAAAATTGAAAGGGGAAACATGAAACTGAAAACCATTTTCTGTTTTACTTTGTGTTCTAGTTCTAGTTTCATAGTTTTCTAGATTAGTCCACAGGAAACAAACAGTCTGTTGTCCAAACATACTCAAATCCTTTTCTGCCAGTAGAACCTGCCAATGTTCTACTAGTGTGGTTTTAAAAAAAACTCAGGGCTACCTCCATACCATGATGAGGCAATAAATAGGTCTTCCACACACCCTTTAATTCCTAATAGTGCTATCTGATGCTGAAGAAAAGGTGAGACAGACTGAGCTCAGCCCAATCAAATTCAAGATCAAACCAGGTAAAAATTAAAATACTCCTTTAGCTAATCCCCACACTCACGGAATACCCTTTCCTTTTTTTTTTACTTCCTGGATCAGAATTCTGTCTCTTCCCCTGAGTGAATTTTGACTGTCCTTTGAAAATACTGACTGAAAAAGGGCAACTTCACGGAAAAGCTTGGGTTCAGAAGTTGAGGAAGCCTCAGAGAGGCAACCTCTCTTCCTAGCCCTCTTCCTAGAGACTCTCTCCCAGTTTCTTCATGATCCAGTCTCCCACCTGTTCATGCTATAAATTCTGTCCTGGACCTTGGAGGGGATATGTACAGAACAAACAATACACCAGCTCTGATTGTGAAAATAATCACCATCAGAATAATAACAATACCTTATACTTTTAGAAACTGGCCTTTTTTAATGTTCTCTATTTCAATATGTCATGTGATTCATTCAACCTTATACAAACATTTACTAAGCATATATTATGTGTCAGGCCCTATGCTAGACACTGCAGGTAATACAGCAGATGTGGAATCCTTGTACTGAAGGAATTTAATTTCTAACAGTAAAGATAAGTCATATAAATAAGTAACTACAAACACAATGGAATGAATGTTCAGAGGACAAAAAGATCACTCCTGGCAAGGAGGATGAGGAAAGACTTCATTAAAGCAGTGGTATTTTAGTTGAACCTTTAAGATTGGGTAGGACTTTGACAGGTGCAGATAAAGGAGAATAGGGAAAAGGACAGGATCAAAAGCAGAGTGAACATTTACACAAATTCATGAAGGCTAGAAAAACCAGGATATGTCCAGTGAACAGTTACTGTAGTACTGTACTGTACATTGTAGCAGTCCAATTTAGATGAAGAATGGTGTTTGTACAAAGTAGTGGGAGAAAAGGTAGAAAGATAATGTCAGGCAGACTGAGTTCAAAAGTTTGGACTTTGTGCTATGGGGCAATGATGAGTCATCAAAAAATTTTAACCATGTGAATAATAAAATAAGAACTGTGCTTTAGAAAGATCATTCTGGCAGAAGGATCAGAAAAGATTAATCAGAGCAAAGTAGGAATGGATTATCCTGGACAAGTGAATTACATTGATAACTGAAGAATAACCCTAAAATCTTTTTTTTTTCCTTTTTCAACCCTAGTTATTTGAAATCTTCCTAAAACATCTGTGTCTTATTCCCTGACTAGTCCAGTACAGAGACTGTTTCTTTGTTGACTGAAGATCTTCCAGAGTTTGCAAGGCTTTTGCACTGGGCCTCACTGTTCACTAGCCAGGTCTAGGGGTAGACATGAAAAAGGAAAAGAAGATTGGACTGAATATATACAAAATCCAGAAAATGTCCTGAAAGTTTATATATACATATGTGTGTATAATTTAATTTTTTTCTAACTCCTTAGTATCTTATTTTCTTTAGATTTGCCACTTTTGCAAAGACTGAAGAATTCTGATATAGTGTTAGAAAATAATCAACAAGCATGTATTAAGCATTTACTATGCACTAGTCACTTAAGAAATGTTGAAAATCATGGTCTAGAAACAGTTGAAAGGAGAAAGTTAAAATGGATCTCAACGGTTATCTAGTCAAACCCCAAAACAAATATTCAAAACCTAAAAGGGGATAAACAAAAATTGCATTGTAGTGAAAGGAATAATAGACAACAGACCAATATCGATATTAAACTCATATGCTCCAAATACTTTGGCATTTAAAATGAAGAAAAGCAAAAATATGGATCTGAACAAATTGTTGTCAAAGTTAAAGCCGAAAACTCATGGTATTTTTTTAAAATGGAACTCCTAAAGAATATACATATTTCTCGGAACCATATGGAACGTTTACAAAAAAAAAATGGACCGTGTATTAGAACACAAAGATATTGCAAAAACACATTTAACAGCACAGAGACAAGAATGAACACTTCATTTAAAGAGAGAAAATCTAGAAACTAGAGAGGTTAATTGTTTTTTCCCCACTGTCCCGGGACAAAGAAGTAACAATGCCAGGATGAAATAGAGTACTTTCCTTACTCAACCATAAGGCTCTTCATATTTTGGTGGAAAGGGCACTGAATTTAGGGTCATAAGAACTGAGGTCAAATCCCAGCTCTTTCTATTTATTACCTTTGCAACTTTGGGCAAGTAACTTAGCTGCTCTGTAAAATGAGAGGATTGGAATAGATTCTGAGGTCCCTTCCAATCTTATCTTTGATCCTCTAGTCTTTCCTGTATGCTCTCTCTCATTCTCTCTCTCTCTCTCTCTCTCTCTCTCTCTCTCTCTCTCTCTCTCTCAGTAGTTCAATAACCTATTTATGTCCATCAGTCTATCCAGTCTGACTCCTTCCTCACTGCCATGGATTTTCAGATGCAACATTTACCTTGTTCTTAATTACCTAAAACCCACACAAATTTTTCAAAAAAAATCTTATTAATCTTATTCTGTTCCTATCTTGTTAGATTTCCTAATGACATGTTTTGCTGCTCCTAGAAATCAAAGCCATTCCATTTGAGGTCTGTTCCTTTAAAACCTGTGAAACAGAAAGGCTTGTAATTCAGGGAATTCCCTTGTACTTGGACCTTTGATCCCATTCCCCACCATCTTCTCTAGCAGATTACCCTCTCATGTATCCCCTCACTTGCTCTAATTTTGATCTCTCCCTATCTACTACTGGTTCATTCCCCATTGTCTTCAAACGTACCCATGTCTCCTTCATGCCAAAAAAAAACAAAACAAAAAAAAAGCACCTTCATTAGACTTTACTGTTTTACTGTTCTTCAAGATATCATCTTAAATCTCTCCTCCTTTACTCAAAGCCAAACTCCTAGAAAAAACATAGTCTGCATTTGTTGCCTCCCTTCTTTTCCTCAAACTTTTATAATCTGGCTTCCAAATTCAACCAACACTGCTCACTCCAAACTGACTGGTTGATTGACTACCAATGATCTCATCACTGCCAAATCTGATGGTTTTTTCTCAACTATTCACTTTAGTTAACATTATTGACCACCTTGTCTTCTTGGATACTCTCCTCTTTTCTTGTTCTCTCCTTTCTGTCTGAACACTCCTCAATCTTCTTTTCAGGTTCAGCATGCCCTTTAAATGTGGGTATGCCCTAAAAAGTTCTCTCCTGGCCCTCTTCTCTTCTCTCTCTACATCCCCTGTCTTAGTGATATCATAAACATCTTCATGAGTTTAATTATCATTTCTATGCAAATGACTTTCAGATCAATATATCCAGCCCAGCTCTCTCTCTCCTGAACTCCAATTTCATGTCATCAACTGCCTATTAGATAGAGTTGTGTGATCTTCAAGCATTTCAAACTCAATACGTCTAAAACAACTCATTATCCTTCCCTAAAAATTCACCAGTCTTTGGAACTTCCCTCTTTCTCTTAAGAACACTACCATTTTCCCAGTTTCCCAGTTTCATCACATTAGTGCTGTCTACAACTTAAAACCCCTCTCACCCAGAATAACCAAATCTTGTGGTTCCTACCTGTAGAATTCACATACAGTCATTACTCATGTTCAAACTTTTATCACCTTTCACTTAGTTAGGCTATTGTGATAGCTTTCTAATTTGTCTACCTGCCTCAAATATCTCTTCCCTCCAGTTCTCTACACTGCTACCCTTATTTTCTTTCTGAGTAGATGTAACTCTATCCCTACTAAAACTCCTGTGGCTCACTATTTCCTCTAGAACAAATTTAAACACCTCTGTTTTGTTATAATCCTTAACAACTTGACTCTAATTTCTCTCTAGCCTCATTGCACATTGTTCCCCTTCTAGCACTCTGTGGTCCAGCCAAACTGGACTTTCTGTTCCTCACACATGGCACTTCATCTCCCATCACAATGCCTTTGAACTAACTGCCTCCCATGCCTGAAATACACTCTCTCCTCACCTTTGCCTGATAAAATTCCTTATTTCCTTTAGGACATTTTCTTAAACCCCGTAATTTACACTTTACATACATAAGGATCTCATCAATTCCCAAAAGTGTTCTATTTCCCCAGTTAGAAAATCTGACATTTTCCTGTCTGCTCATAACTTTCTATTATTCCACCTGTCCCTGTGTTTCACTCTTCTACAACCTATTCTTTACTTTCATTGAGACCTCTAATCCCTATATCAGTACCCTCTCAGGCCATTGCCTCTGCTCCAGTTCCATTTTCCTCCCACTCCAATCTTAATTCAATAGTTCCTCAAGTCTCTCACAACTCCCTTCTTTTTCTCTTAGCTAATGACCTTGCCTCTTAATTTACCAAGAAAGTGGGGTCATTTTGATGAGATCTAGAGGTTTAGGGGTGCTGGGACTCCAAGATCATGACATTAGGGCCCTGCCTGAAAGAATTCAACCCAAGCCTTTTTTAAGCCAAAGACAAGGCTTTTTAAAGATCCACCATATTGACCAGACTCTTAAGGAATCTGAGCACCTGTGAGCTATTGGCTAGATTGTAAAAATCTGAGTGCCTTAATGGAGATAAAATGGACCTTATATTTAGAAAGACTTTGGGAGGGATCTAGGAGTGGCCAAGTAGTCTATGAGGTAATAGAATTCCAGGGACCTGGACCATGAAGACCTAGGGAGAATGGAGCCTAAATAGGATTAATGGTGGGAAGTGGCCTGGGGCCATAAAGAGGTAAGACAATGGAGAGCTAGGCTAGGTCAAGGGTAACAAAGAATTGGGAGATTGAGTGTAGCCACAATGAAAGGCCAATTGATAGAATTATGGCCTCAGGGAATGTCAGAGACCTTTGAGAATTCAAGGACAGTCCAAGGGTTTTCTAGGACCCATAGACAAATGGGGCACAAATTGGAACAAAGGTCTCAGCTTGGGCCCGTACACCATCAATTTGATATGAGTTCCTTCTTCCAGTCTCTTTAACCCAAAATCTCTTGACATCAACACCTACTCTTTCCTCCTTTCTCTTAGTATCTGACAAAGAAGTGGCCTTTCTCATCACCAATACCAACCCCTCTATAAGTGCACTTGATTCCTTCTCCCAA